CATGAAGAACAAGACAAGGAACAACATCACCAAACACCAACGAATACCAACCTTGGAAAGGACTAACTGACCGAACCACCGTACACAGTCGACGTAATTGCAATGGATCTTGCGTGTTGTGAAAACCGGAAAGTGAACTGATAAGGTATCGAATGATCTGCAAATGCATGCACAGTAGATAAATACAAGAATCTCTGTGTATATATGTGTGTATATATGTGTGTGTGTGTGTGTGGATGTGTGTGTGCATGTGTGTGTGTGCGTGTGTGTGCGTCACTTCAAAATAGCTGTAGCTTCAACATAGCTGTATGGTGTAGACCAGGCTGAATAGTGACGGTCAATTCTTCAGCCTTGCAAGCTGTTGAATGGTGCAATCCCAGCACAAGTTGCTATGGCTTCTGCCGTAGCATTGCTATCATCGCCTCCGGCGATGGGCGTCAAAGGTCAAAGGTCAAGGTGTGTGTGTGTGTGCGTGTGTGTCTGTGCGGGTGCATGTGTGTTTGCTGGGCGAGTGTGTGCACATGTGTTTGCCCAGTCATGAGTCTACTCAGTCAAGACTGTACATCATCCACCGCAACTAACATGCTATGCTGGCAAGGGTATGATCCACCCAGAGGCAAGGCAAAACAAGAGCAAAGTCAAAAGATGCAACAGTATTACACAGACAGCTTGCTCCAAGTCTCCATCACCAGTACACATACTAGTACCTGTTTGTAGTCTGAGGTTGATAAGTCTTAGATGCTCGAATTGCCTGCACATCACATGTACAAGAAATGGTAAATAACCATTGTCATGCTGGATGGGTGTAACCATTGTCATGCTGGATGGGTGTAACCATTGTCATGCTGGATGGGTGTAACCATTGTCATGCTGGATGGGTGTAACCATTGTCATGCTGGATGGGTGTAACCATTGTCATGGTGCATGGGTGTAACCATTGTCATGGTGGATGGGTGTAACCATTGTCATGCTGGATGGGTGTAACCATTGTCATGGTGCATGGGTGTAACCATTGTCATGGTGCATGGGTGTAACCATTGTCATGCTGGATGGGTGTAACCATTGTCATGCTGGATGGGTGTAACCATTGTCATGGTGCATGGGTGTAACCATTGTCATGGTGGATGGGTGTAACCATTGTCATGCTGGATGGGTGTAACCATTGTCATGGTGCATGGGTGTAACCATTGTCATGGTGCATGGGTGTAACCATTGTCATGCTGGATGGGTGTAACCATTGTCATGCTGGATGGGTGTAACCATTGTCATGCTGGATGGGTGTAACCATTGTCATGGTGCATGGGTGTAACCATTGTCATGCTGGATGGGTGTCAGTGCGCTACACAAACTACTGTTAACCGCCCAATGTTTGCGTCACGAAATTTTAACCATCTCTCAGAACCAGTGAGTTTACGATGGCAAATATTCGCGGAGCACCGTGGCCACACATATACACCCACTGTTGCAGTTAATACGTCGCTAGTCTGTTTCCAGTACTTCTTGTTACACAGTTTTACTCCAATGGTCCAGGATTACCCAGGCTCAGGCACACCACCCAGCTACGTAGCCACCGTATCTACAATGTACTAATCGAGTGCTGAGCATGCTCATGTCACCGGCATGTTATGTATACATGTTCTTCCTGCGAGTGCTACAATCTTTCCTGGCGTACCACATCCTAGTTTTTAAAACATCGAGCTATAACATTATAATACAGCTGTACAGGGCTGCATCTCATGGTTCTGTTCTGACTGATACCTCGTATGATAAGTTTGAAACTTTGTCAGAAGAGCCCATGAATGCTGGCTTTAGTGCCTCATTTCCTCCCCCCCCCCCCCCCCCCCCCCCCTCTGTAAACGGCTTTGGACGTGGTCATAGTACCATTTTGAAAAATGCTCCTGCAGACACATGTCCACTCACCTACACACCACCCAACCACCCCCACCTACACACACATGCCCCCCCACACACACACATGCCCACCACCCACCCACTCACACTGAGAACGCTGACATCGTTCATAGACCATAGCTTGAGTGCATGATCCATTCCACACGACATGATCCATGAGCCTGTGAGATCAAAGTCCTATCCAACACATTACACAAAGATGGAAAATGCAGGGGAATCAAATGTACACACCAGCAAACACCCCTAGGCCCTCCATACACACACGGCTAGAACAAGTCTGTATACACACAGCTAGTACAAGTCAGCCTACACAACATATACCCAGTACCAGTACCATGGACAGGGACATAGGACGCACCACTCTCTTCAGTTGAGTTCACTGAGCCGAGACCGACATCACTCAAATGCATAGACCTTGAACGTTACACAGTGAAATGCATCAGCTGACCACCACAAAGAGGAAGAAATGGTCAAGGTTTGGCTGTAGGTACGGGTCTGCAAGGTGCTCAGTTGAAAAAGGTGTCCAGATATGGCAGGTGTCTGGATATGGCAGGTCTGGACTCTGGATACGGGAGGTGGCTGGGTAATA